TGATATTGTGATATTGGATCGATCGCAGTCGAGCGTATTTCTTGTGGGCCTCACCATCCCGCATGAGGAGGGTCTCGTGAAAGCTGAAACCGAGAAACGCCGGAAGTATCTCGACCTGGCGCACGAGATCACCGACCTGTGGGATGTGGCCTCCACTGAAATAATCCCAATTGTTTTGTCCGCAAATGGGTTAATTCCAGTCAGCCTTTCTAACAGCTCGAGGCGGTTGGATTTCTGTGGCGTGTCGCTTCCAGCACAAATCAAAATTAATCTTTTAGGCCTTGGGAGAGGCGAGAGTTTAAAATAAATACAATAATAATAATCTTCAGATATAAGAAACTTCAAAATCTCGAACATCGCCGAAAAGTAGCCTGCTTGTCGGTTTTTTATCGAATACATTTCGGGGAGTGCGCGCAGGAACTTTTCAATTTGGTTCCGCCCTCACCGTTCCTCCTTCGGTCGACTAGAAGATTCGCACTAAGCGCTTTACTTCCTCTTTCTGACGCGTACGGCAAAGGAATGGAATACTCTATCGGCATCTGTATTTCCCGAAAAGTACAATTTGGAGCTATTCAAGGCTAGAATGAGTAGGCATCGTCGGTAACATCGTCGCTTAACGTCAGGTGATATTGTTGCCAAGCGCGTTTCTATTATATATTTTTTTTAAAAGCAGTAGAGCAGAAACAGTAGAGCTCCTTGTGAAAGAGTTTGTTCAGGGCAGGACTGATTGTCGAGGGACCCTTTCCACCAAGCCTAAAGGTGCAAAAAAACGGATTCTGGGGCGTCTCTCTATGGCGATGGAGTTAACCGCTGGGTTTTAGTGGGACTACCGCCCGGTAGTACCACTTAACGGGTCGATGCTCCCCCGAGCCGAGCGGTATGCGTAAAACATTTCCCAGCGATAAAAAAGGCAGTACTGCTTACCTAAGTCACCATTAATACGTTCCGGTTTTGAAGGGTAAAGATACTGGTGAAATTACAGGCACAATGGCCTTGTCAACTTTATGTCTCAGGGTGACGGGCGCAGTGGCAGTGCCCCTCAGATCTTTGCGATTTAATGAGTGGCACTGCAACTGTTATGCACAGGCGTGTTGCTTGCCACTGATTCGTTCCGTCATTTGGTATCATTAAAAAAATATCGCTTTTGATCCCACTGAGCTCACCGACTCCCTTGGTCTCCTCGTCGAAATCCTGCAAGTGTTGGCCGATCATGGTGCCGAAGATCTTCATGAGCTGCTGCTCGGTGGGCGCCGTCATGAAGAAGGGGTGGAAGCACGACAGAAGCCGCGGGGGCAGGTGGGACCGCGCTCCACCAGGGGGACCGGCCGCGCCCACCAGCACCATGTCCTAGACCGACGTGGGTTAACGCAACCAGCGACCCTAACTTCGTTTACTACCCGACCATCTATATTTTTCACTATTTTAGGAAGCTTCTTTATCTGTACTTGAGACTATGAGATTGGTTCTCAAATACAGATGTTCTGGTATAGTATTATACTATCTATGCCTGTTCAAGAACATTTTAATAGCAGTAGAGCTACTTAGAGTTCGTCCAGGGAAATACTTCCACTTTACACATTTCTGCCGCCAAGCAGTAATGTGAGCATTACTGCGTTCCGGTTTTGAAGGGCAAGAGTACTGCTAACATTACAAGCACACGGGACTTGTCAACTTTTGTCTCGGGGTGACGGGCACAGTAAGTTTAAGCTAAGTCTTATCGCTTAAAGCGATAAGATCGCCCATTGTATTAACTCTTATTTTTAATTTAATTGTGTCGTACTTGTTTCCTTTTCCGGTGTACAATAAAGAATTTTTCTGTTCTATTGTATTGTGTTATGGACCGGCGTGTCATCAGCTACACGACTTGTTCATGCCGTCATCGTCACTTAGTGTTATAAAAAAAATTAACAACTATAGTTTAAATTGTCTGACCTTGATATTCGTACGCCATTGTTTGTTGCGGTCGTACCAATAGCCGTAGTCGTGCCACAGCCTCACCAACTCGAGCGGCGGCTGCGAACCGTACTCGTCGCGCACAGGCATATTGATGTCATCCATGAACGCTATCATCTTCTTGCCTGAATAAAGGAGTAGTGAGAGTGTAGGCCAGCGGAATAGCTATTGCATTTCTATTTAGAGGTCCCAGCGACGGCATATACCTTCATAGGTATGATGATGAAGTCATCTCCATTCTTTATTCTTATTTATTTACGTTCCACAATGTACAGACGACAGCACATTGATGAATCTTGTTCCGTTGCTCTGAAGGTGATATTCAATAGACATAGACAAGTGTGTAGCTATATACACATCGAGTACATAACCGGAAATAGAGACGAAATGTCATTTAATTTGTTTGAAAACTATTCTGCCAAATCATTACGGTAACAACAGCGCTCCGATTGGCCAGCGCGAATTCGAAACGACAGACGAAAACGACCAGTTTAACTTGAGCTTTGGTATAATATATTTATTATTTTTGTATTTATTATACCGATTTTTATCGTATAATTTTAATGCATAGCATTGTTACTTACAAAGCTGGTCTTTTGTTGTCTGAAAATAAAATCATGATTATGATTATAATGGACGAAAAATGAAAAAGTACATATTTAATATTTAATTACCTACCGTTGAAATGTGATTCCATTTGTTTTGTAATTAGATGTTTTGCTGTTTTCCCCCAACCACCGAATGGAACAGCCCCCCGTTGTTAGAGATACTCTCTTTATTACAATAAATACTGCATATTTTTGGAATATATGGAGACGTCCACACAGGTCAGTTGTTGGCGCTGTACTATTTCAGTTTTCTAATTTGAGAATTCAGCGCAAATGAGAGTTGATATTGTAGTGTAAGTGGTGTAAGGCTCATTTGCCTGATGAGTGGCCAGGGATGGATGGCCCCTATTCCGTCTATATTTCTGGTTATATACTCGATGGAAGGCATCTAGGAATAACTCATATAGGTCCTCTTGGGGTAAGTGGATTGTTTACAAGACTTGGTCCCTATCTACCGACCCGAGAGATAGGGTTTTCCGGAGAGACTACGGGCTCGACGGCAAGACCAGGGTACAGCGAGCGTCCGGGCCAAGCCCTCCGCCAGTGATACGCCTTTGCGGGCGTCTCTGGCGGACCCGGACTTGGGTAAGGACTCGTTGGGGTTTGTGGTTAGTTGCAGAGACGGACATGTTTGTCTGCCCCGGTTTTGCTAGTGCCGGGGCGTCTGTCTCGTGAGCAGCTAGCGCGTCTTAGTAGTGGTCTAGTTGAGGGCCTGAAGCGAGGAGACGCGCGGGGCACGTGAGTTGCCCTTTAAGTTGGAAGCTATGTCCGGATATTGTCGCAGGACACTGCGACTGGCATCTCCGGCACTAGCCCGGAGAGCTAGTAGAGGATAAGCTAGATATCCACCGGTCGGTCCAGCCGCTTAGGTTATTGGGAACTGGAGAGACGTCGTTTTTCGGCGTGGGGAAGTGAGCGTGCCTTACAGCTCCGCCACCAATGAGGATATTTGGTAGTGGACTCAAGAGTCGACGCGGTTAGCGGTGGCAACTGCTAGTTGTGCAATGCGCAACGGGAAGTGACCGTGCCTACAGCTCCGGTACCTATCTGGAAAATAGGGATGGTACTGTACGTACACCCGGGGCGGCTCACCCGAGGCACTAGCCTCTCAAAGAACCGGATGAAGTCAAGTGACAGAGATCGGTGACAACCCTGTGCACTGGCTGATCTGGGGGCAGAACCTGAACTTGTAAGGTTCCTGTGCGCGCACAGGTTATAGTGTCCTTCTCGTACGCCCTAAGGATAGGTAGAGAGAGTCACTATAATCAAAACTAACGTAGAAAGATATGGTGCTTGTTTATAAGACTGTTTAGTATTGGTAGTGTTTTTATACTGTTTGTACCTTTTTTATATCATTTTATTCTTTTTTCCTTTTTGCGTTTCATTTTCTACCTTTAATAAATTTATGTAGACCAAGCACTTCCCTTTTACTTCACTAAGGCAGAGCCACAGCCTATGTCACTCCTCTCAATGGGTCTTTACCTCCAGCTGGAACGTAATTCCCTTTAGTCCTCTTCTCCAGGCGAGCCTCAATTATGTCTTGCACGTTCGCGGCCGTCGTACGCGCAGACATATTCAACACTTGCGTGCTATACCTAATCGTCACAAAGGTTATATTTACGTAAATTAGACGCAAGCTTTACTATAAAAAAATTTTTTTCCTCTTATGACCACTATGGGCGCTGTAAAATTACAATATACACAATCAAGTAATTGTACGCAACCGCTAATAGCTATCAACATTGCAAACTCAAGATACAGATAATTGCACAAAATAAATAAACTTACTTGGTAGAGTCCAACATGGCTAAAGTCCCCTGTATGAGAAAGGTCTTCCCAGTGCCCGTGGGTCCTCCTACGATGATACCGTAACCAGATTTGAGCAAATCCACGGCGATGGTTTGTACGCGAATGAACTCCACTGTTGGCACTAGAATGGTGTGGAATCCAGCGCTGAAATTTTTAATATATTTTTTTTTACGACACACAACGGGACGAACAAGTCATGCGCTTGGTGTTAAGCAACACGCCCGTAGCGTATAGTATTGACGCCTAAGGGTGTATTTCCACTGGCGATGCGAGACGAGACGAGGCGAGACGATTCTTAAAACTTGTACGGCAAAATATCCATTCTCTCCTAGCGCATCTTCGGTGGAAATGGTCGGGATTGACGAGGATGGGCGAGACGAGATTTGAAATATTTGTTGATGTAACATTGAACCGTATTGCTGCCTACATAGACTCTTTATTAACTCTGCAACGCAAACACGATTCACGATGTCTCGTACGATATCGCGCGAGCTCGCGCGTGCTCGCGATGGCTATTAATGAAAATCGCGAGATTGAGGGATACAGTCGCGTGCATTGAAATGTAAACGTTCACGCATTTTCGAAATTATGCAAAAATTAGATATTTAAAAAAATTTACCGTGTAATGTACGTGTTCAAAAATATGTAATCACGACACCATTGTAAAGAAGAAGAAGAAGAAGAAGAAGGTATACTTTTAATTGCAAAGAAAAATAAACAAACTACAGTCAATGAAAAATATATAGTCCTGGTGTCATACATATCATTTTCGTAAATATTTATACAATGCACATTATATATTTATAATTGCATTAAAATGTATACGATTAGGATTGTGATTTTATCATAATTACGTAACCACAATTAAAACATTGCATCGTTTTCAAAAATATATACACACAACATAGTTGCAATATAAAGTAAACATACCAGTGCCAGTTGTAAACTTTTTTATGTGTATTTTGCTAGATCGTAATATTTGCTCTGGGATAAAAGATTCTATAAAAAAAGTTATTTTCTAAAAAGTTCTTTTTATTTCAAACAGCTTATATTACAACATGATTATTTCTTCTTACAGTATCTCCGTCTGATTCTCCTTCCGTTAACATATTTAATAATAAGAATTTGCGGGACATGGTACTTTAGCCGCGTGTTTATGACTTGACGAATTGAACCGCACTGTATCTTCACTATTCATAACCCTAGCAGGAGATCGCGAGTGCCCACGCGAGACCACACGAGACCGCGATGGCAATTTTTGGTGGAAATAAGTCAGCGAGATTTCAATTCTCGCCTCGCCTCGTCCCGTCTCGCCTCGCCAGTGGAAAAGCACTTTACGTAGATAGATGAGAAGAGATAGACGAGCGATTCGTTCTGTGTACCGTTTAGGTTCTCAGATTTCTTTCTTTTAGAGAAAAGTTTAAGGAAACTAGTATCATGACTAGTATCACAGTACATTTACCCAAATATTTTGTATACCCGTAAAAATATACATAATTTCGTTAAGAAAGAAGATATCCATAACCTTAGAACTAAATCCAAACTCATGGTACCACGATTTCATTTAACCAAGGTAAACCGACTCTTTTTTGGGGAACTGTATACGTTTTTACAATAAGATTCTGGAGCATATATTAGGATTACCATTTCCTAAGTTTAAAACTTACAGTAAAAGTATTTTAATTAAAAAGTCATATTACAAAATTGTAGACTACGTGTTAGATAAAGACGTATGGGAAGACAACATGAGTCTAGATTCCACACAAATATGATTCAAAACGTATTCTGTAGCATGTTATAATTATTAATACAAAGATCGAACACTCAGAAAAAATTCCTTCGATCCGGCCGGATTCGGACCGACCGGATTTTTTCTGAGTTTTCGATATTTGTAATAATAATTATAGCAAACAAGTGGAGTAATTTCACAAAAAATAATTGAATATCAATTCAATAAAATTTTAAGTATTCTATAGCATTTATTTGAAAAGAGCAATCCCTAGAGTTTCTTGCTCTTTTTTCTCATGAAGGTCAGCGTAGTACTTTTTTATTTAATTAGTTATACGATTTTTTTATCGTGCAATATTGTTTAATATTCAAGTATTGTATACAATATAATTATAATTGAATATTTAAATACTTAATAAAAATTGCCACGAAACTTAGGTAGTAGATACCTAGTCCGGGAATGACCGAAATATGAAAATAGTGGTACATTCCTTTACTTTAAATTCTACTTTGCATTGTTTCGCCATGACTAAAACAGAATGTAAAAAGACCGTCAAATAAATAAAACTTACAATGAAACAGGACTTTCTGGGAGTTGTTTCATAATTATTTTTATATAGGTAATCATTAATTTATAACTACCAATTATTTTATTGTTAAATATACGAAATTTCTTTTTAAGCTGCAATATAAAAGAATTTGTCAAAAAAGATGCCTAAAATATAGGTACGCAGTTATGTCTAATATTAATGCAAACAACCCTATTTTTTCACTATAGTCACAAAAGTTATTAATTAAATATCTTATTTTTAATTTTACAAAGAAGCATTACAATCTACGCTACATTGTTTTACAAATTATTTTGTTGTAACAATATAAATTTTTATTAAGTTATAGTATATGTATAGTTTATTGGTAAGGATACAAGCTAGATGAGTTGTTATGTTCTTAAATGTTGAAATGGACTGAATGTTCGTCAAATACTGATTTTAATTGCCTATTTATATGCAAAGGTAAACAATTAGCTGCTGAAAGTAGAAGTAAGCAAAACTAAACGTTAAACCGTAGTAATAAAATATAAAAAATAATAATTACAATAACACAAAAATTATCCTTACCTAGCGTTAAATCTCCAGTTGTCTGGTAGTCTGTCCTCCCAGGGTTTAAAGACGCGCAATCTCTCGTCCACGTAGTAATCATAGACCGTATCCTTCAAAGGGAAGATGCCCTCGTGCTCACGGATCCAATTGTCGATACGCCTCCGCGACTCCTCCTCCAGGGTCGAGCAAACGGACCAAATCATCCTGCAAACGCAAGCGCAGCTAGTGATATCGGGCGGCAGAGAAAAATTGATGTAATTGTTTGGTTGTAGTTTCAAATTTAGAAAGTAATAAATTCTGGACTGTTAATATAATTTAAACTTTACTCTGTTGGCATAATGTTGAAAGTTTAATAACATGAATACCTTTGATTTTACATTGAAATTTCAATCAACTTGTTGAGTTCTAGCGGTTAATAGCTGAACGACGGCGGGTTCGAAATGTTCACAAAAAATAAGCGATGATATTTCAAGAAATAAGCTTTACTTTCGTTTCTTGTAACAAAATAATAATTACGATAAATAGAAATAGCATAGATAGCGCTCTACTGCGGCGGTAAGCCGATGACTCGTAGGTATAACTTGTTTTACCTTCATTATATATTTTTTCTCGTACATTGTTTTCATTTAATAAAATTGTTATTTTACACGTTATGTTAGAGGAGTTGCAACATTCATACAAATTTGTTTAGGTTTAAGAGTGTAAAGTAAAACCGTGATAATGTGTTTTATAATTATTAAATAAATTAAAAAAGATAGCACTCTAAAATAACGAAATAAGGCATGCTTTACACGAGATTGACACGACCGTAACGTACAAATCGAAAATGGCGGACCGGGCTCAAGTTCGCGGAACTCCGCCTACTGTTGGCGCACGTGCCACACAAACTAAGCTCTACAGTAGTAGCAGTTATCGTTCTGCGGTGAGGACTAACGCGAAGAGGAAGCGCATCTTGGAGAAGTTGTCGTTGTCCTCCTCCTCGGGCCCCGGCGGCGCGGGCGGCGGCTGCAGCGCCAGCAGGCGGCACAGCGAGCGCACGCCCGTCAGCTCCTGCCCCTTGACGCTGGCGCCCTCCAGCAGCTGCAGGCGCTTCAGCTCCAGCACCGGCGTCAGGATGCGCAGGAAGTGGTTGCGCAGCTGCGCACGTTACTCGCGCTCAGCCGCCGGCGGTTCCGGACCGCTGCTTGGCCAGCTCAAGGAGAGCTCTGCTCCGCGTGGCGGTTAATCGGTGTCAAGGTAATCACGGTATCACATCATTATTTTAGTCATAAATGTAAAAAAAGTCTGCGACTCGCGTTGTACTACTCGAATGCCCCACGTGATTTATAAGTTTGTTTTGAGTTGCACTACTACTTGTACTACAACCGCCCACGCGTAGCATCGCCATATGGCGCGAAGCTCTTCGTAAACTGGCCTTATTGTGTAGTTTAGTCGAATTTTTGCTCGACATGTTTCAACCAGTCCGTGGAACTTATTTATGAGATTCCGCGGCGTTGACTCGACGGAAACTGCGTGCCAAAGCCCTAACAGCCCGGTCGCTCAGTACGACAGTGCGGGCGCAAGCGGCAGCGGCGAGCTCTACCCTCGCCTGCTTCAGTTTTAGTAAAGTCGCACACAAGATTGTATACCCATTAGATCTTATCATTATGTTAGACAGGTATATATCGTCGGTGTTTGTAGGCGAAAGCTTAATTTCCAAAAAAAATTTAGAGGAACGTTTTAGTTTTTGACGATTGTATTGAAATATTTACGTCCTGTTTCAAATCCAATTTTAAAACAGCCGTTAAAACCTAAAACATGCTCCCCTGCAAAAATTTTTCGAAACTGCGCTTTCGCCCATTCTTTTTTTATAATACAAAGTAACGGGACAAACAAGTCGTGCGCCTGGTGGTAAGCGACACGCCTATCCATAACAGTTGTAGTGCCACTCAAGTTTTAAATCGCAAAGATCTTATTGACTGCCACTGCGCCCGTCACCCTGAGACAAGTCCCATGTGCCTGTAATTTCACTAGCACCCTTCCCCTTCTAAACCGGAACGCTGTAATGCTTACATTACTGCTTGGCGGCAGAAATAGGTAAGATGGCAGTACTTCCCTGGACGTTCTCTTTCACAAGGAGCTCTACTGCTACTACGAAACACCGGCGATATCGTAATGACTTCCAAATTTACTTTATTCTTTTCAAATTTGAACCAAAAGCACAGCTGATATTCATAGTGATGACTACTGTTTTAACTTGATTGCTAGACCTTTGTAATACTGATTGCACATACCAGTTCAGCATATTCAACGTCCTGCGCGGACATAGCGTCCAACCAGGAGTTGACGTAAGGCCACCAACCCCAGTCCTTGTAGTCGTTGTACACCATCCCGTTGCGGGACACCGTTGCCGGAGACGCCACTGCCAGGTCTAGCGTTTCTATTAGCAGAGACACCTGTAATAAACAATATTTGTTTTATGTTCTCTGAGCGGTACGTTAGCGTGGTTGTACCGTAGTCATACAGTATATAACCAGAAATAGAAACGAAACCCATAGGCCATCCATACCTGGCAATTTATCAAGCAAATGGGCCTTATATCACTTTTAAATATCAACTCTCGTTTGCGCTGAAATTACAAATTAGAAAGCTGAAATAGTACAGCGCCAACAACTGACAAGTGTGTACATCTCCGTATATTTCAAAAATATTCTGTATTTATTGTAATAAAGATAATATCTCTGACAATGAGGGGCTGCTCCATTCAGTGGTGTGGGGAAAACAGCAAAACATCTAATGATAAAACAAATGGAATCATATTTCATTGGTAATTAAATATTAAATATGTCATTTTTAAATTTTTGTCCATTATAGACACGCTTAAGTTAAAATGGTCTATTTGAAGTGAAAAAAATATCGGAGCGTAGTAAAGTTGTCATTGTAATAATTTGGCAGAATAGTTTTCAAACAAATTAAATGCATTTCGTCTCTATTTCTGGTTATCTGGAGCATCATTGCTTCTCAATTAAGAGGTGGACAGTTCCAGTGATGGCACATAGGGGAGAGTGGTGGGTAATAACGTACCCCTAAGCAATAAGGCCTATTATTAAGCTCAGGCTTGGTTTTAAAAACAAAATTTATAGTCGTAAGTAGGTAATTTATTTGGCTACATATATACTTAGTATAGCATGCGGAGTAATACATGTCAAACTACGCCATGACTAGGCTATGATACTAGGGCACTGTAGACTTAAGTAGCATGTAGTTGTTGAGATATACAGAGGCGCGAAATTATCAGCCGCGCGGTAATACCCAACTCTCCTCTACCGATGTCATTCATTTCTAGTTGGCTCATGACAAAAATGTCCATATTTTTCATTGACTTACAAATAAATGGACGACGGGTCTAATACAAAAACCACGAAAAAAATGTCCCAAGTCAACCTATTCGAAATTTAAATTGTAATATCATCGCAGTATCGCGCTGTCAGTCGAACAAATGAAGACTAAAGCGGAGTTTGGCGCTCTGTATACGATTTTAGCGCCTTACAAATGCGGACACTTTTTAGCGCGGACCCGACGTCCATATAATTGTAAGTCAATGATATTTTTTTATATATTCTATATTTTTGAAGTTACTGAACGAAAACTATTAAAAAGATCTTTTTTCTCAAACTTGCTTTTTTAGCAATACAATTTTATTTCATTCATCACGCTAAATAAAACTTCAAATATATTTCTAAACGAAGAATCTAAGCACACGAATTATATTTTTCCAATATTTTTCAATTTTATTGGAAAAATTTCCATTTTTTGAAATGTTTAGGAAAATTATGCAACAGTATTCATTTCTAAGTTAACGTGAATTCGTGAATGTTTTGTAGCCAATACCTCTCACTAACAGTGAAGAAAAACACCGTGGTGAAACCTGCACGTTGAAGAAAGTTCACAGCCCTTGACGTGGGAAATTCTAAACAGTGACGAACAAGACAATGACCAAGTCCTCATCTTTGAAGAGAGCAGTGACTAGCAACGGGACTTTTAACGACTTATAATAGTGATTCTTTTGCTTATTGTGTGCTTCTTCTTCCTCGTGTTTGATAATCCACAATACTATGCAATCGTGGATATCGTGCCACCTAAAGTTATAATATTGTAACAACTTGTGTCATTTATTACCACGAATGACACTATTTGCGGCGATAATAGATCATCTCCAGCCCCTAAAGAATATATTTCATGAGGGCCTTACTTGCGCAGGCATAGATATTCTTTCGCTGTTGACTAGAGTAAGCAACTTATTGTCATCCATGACGGAGTTGAGGTTTTCGATCCAAATGGCGTCCACTGGGCCATCAAAGATGATCCACTTTAGGTCAGGTGATTCATCTGTAAACAATTTGGCCAAATGTGAAAAAGAAAAAGTGAACAAGGCGAAAACATCATCATCATCAACCCATTTATGTCCCACTGCTGGACACGGACCTCTTGTCAGGCGAGGCTTTAGGCCATAGTCCGCAACTCTGGTGAAATGCGGGTCAGGCACTTAACACGTTTTATACATGTAGGATTGTAAACCTTCTTCGACGTGCAGGTTTCCACACGATGTTATAGTTCCGTACAAAGTCTAGACCTTTGGTCTAAACCCTCTCCTTAGAGAAGATCCGTTTCCAGCAAGGGGACGTTCCAAGGGCTAATGAACCGATGATGTGAACATGCATCGGCTAGATCATGTACCATTTTCGGCCACATTCCGTTTGATGCGTCTCCCGTGATTTAGTCCGTAACAAAGACAGGTGATATATCCTATATAAGTGCCATGGACATATAGCATAGGGACCTTCTAAGTTCAGATCCTGACCTCGGATCAGCCAGTGTACAGGACTGTGTTTGACAGAGCCATGGACAGGTGGTGTCCATGGGAGTGGGAGTGAATTTTGGAATGACTAAACAGCGAACGTAAACCCTAGGAAACATGTGATTAAATCGTATCCAAATAACCAGTCCTTCAAATGAAGCATTAGTATTGAAGCAGGAATAGAACGCCGGATCATCCAATCTCATCGTCATCTTGTATTTAGAAATGGACCTCTAGTAAGCGTTGCAAGAATACAAAAGCTACTACATACCTTGACAAGTATTCCTCATAATACTAGACAGCACACCGTCCTTCCACTCTCCAGTAGCAAGATTATACTCCCCATACAGTTCCCCCAAGGTCAAAGACTTAGGGTTCATCGGGAATACTTGTACCGCCTCGAAACCGGGTACTCGCTCGTTCTTAAGACGCGTTATCGTGTTCGCTAGCATCTTCCAGGATACTGTTTTAGCTGTATTCGTATCGCCGAGAAGGATACTTGAGTGCCGCGAATTCTGCAAGAATTAGTCGATTTTGTGGATGGCACTGATCTGTAACCACGTCCTACGATCATTGCTGGGTTTCTAAGCACAATAATGTTAGTGACCTGCTGTAATCTGTGAACCTCTGATGTTTAGCTGCTTAAGTTCTTAAAGTTGTTAAGGTGACTACAGATTCGCTTGATCGAACGATCCTTATTGGCGCTCGATGTGTTGTGTTTTGACGATCAATAAGATATCGAACAGATTTGGTCGATTTTGTCGGTTACTGTCACCTGTCAGCGATCGGTAAATATCACGGTTAAAAACCCTGTAGGCACCTTTGCCTGATTTCAATTCAACAGCGTCGATTGATATAAAAATGCACTGCCGATCGTCTGTTGCCTCATTTACTCCATTTGGCCTGATCATACGTGTCCGTCGACAAAAAATACGATTTCGATCATCTGTTTCTTACACGTTTACTCGATTTTGTCTGATCACGTGTCGATCGTCAAAAAATGGATCAAATCTGTAGGCACTTTTATAAATAAATATAATTAGGAAACGTGACTTATTTACTAAGACCTCATATAGCACAAAAGACATCCATCGTCACTGTCGACGTACCTTGGTCTCAAAAGTCTGTATGACTTTCAACAACGCAGCTTTAGTAGGCTGTAGATTACTAATCTTCATCTCAGCTGTGATGGCGGTTTCCAGCATTTCGTAGTCGAGTGTAGGGATCTCCACTTCAGGGAAGATATCCGAGACAATGCCTTGGAAGAGAGGTACGTCTTTGGCTGTGAGGCGGGCTACGTTCATGTCACACATAGCGAGGATTACCATCTGAAATTTCAAGGCCGAATCTATATTGACAGTTTTCCCGAGTCTTGTCATATTATGATACGACAAAGCAGACAGCTTATTACGCCCGGCGGTCACTGTCTTCGGCAACCCTACTATCTAACTTATCTAATACTATCTAACCTCCTGTTCAGGCAAATGCGGGTAAGCGCGTCGCTTGACGCCCGCGTACCGTAGTAGCGCCACCATAGACCGTAAACCGAAGTCGTAGTGATCTTGCTTCGACAGCTGTTGCATTGCCAGCTGATATAACGTGAAGACCTGGGCACGAAATTTATAAACTGTATATATTCCAGTATTAGACTTTCCCCATGATGTTTTTTGAGTCATAAATAATAAATGTTGGACCAAAACAGTATATGAAGATATAGGTTGGTTTACGTTACTTTTCAAGTTGGTGTTATATGCTGTGACATAAGACCTATTTCCCGGATGTAATGTATGGAAAACCAGCGTCCCCTGGGAATTAGGTACATTGCAGATACATCCCTTTTTCCTTTTTTTATAACATCTAGTGACGGGACGGACAAGTCGACTGTCACCCTGAGACATAAGTTGACATGTCTTATGTGCCTGTAATTTCACCAGCACCCTTACCCTTCAAAACCGAAACACAGTAATGCTGACATTACTGCTTGGCGGCAGAAATAGGTAAGGTGGCAGTACTTCGCTGGACGAACTCTTTCACAAGGAGCTACTGCTACTAAATACCTGCTAATTCCAGAGGATGTGGAGGCTTACCTTCTTAGCATTAACCTTATAATCCTTGAACCCGTCTGAGAACAGGGTGTTCTCGGCAATGATGAGCGAATCTGGCACGCACATCGCGATCGGTCGGAACATAGATTTCAGATTGTCCGGCAATTCCGTTCGACCGGCGTAGCTGCAAGATTACTTTAGGTAACTAAGCGGATTGTTTATTCCCTATCAGAGCGCAGCAATCTTCCTTATTTTTCTTTTTGCACACTTGGGAGCACAAAATTAAGAATTAACATTGGATCTTTCACCTCAATTGTATTACATCACAGATCTATATTCAAAATTTGGACATCGTCACAACCTGTTTGTGTTTTAAGGTATTTTCAAATTTCATATCGGTTGAGGAAAGGTTCATAGATTACGCAACATGAGTCGATGCCAAGAAAAGTTCGCTCGCTGCGCTTTGGACCGAAACATTTTGAGCAACCTAACATTAAAATAACATTCCCTAAACAAATTAATGCAGTAACGGATAGAAGTTTGTTCGCTTTTTCAGTCTTGAAACAAAACTTGTTCATTTAAAGGTTCATTACGTTATACCTAAGACTATTTATAATTGAAAGATACCACTGCTGTACATATTCAACTACATAATTACGGCCTTTGTGCGGAAAGAAATCCTGTTTATATTGATGATTCCTTCATACTGAACATAGTTTTTCCCTTACCCAGGGTTCATGGTAATGAAGATGCCACAGTTACTGTCTATCTTGATTTCCGCGCCTTCGAACACAAACCGCTTCTGATAGAGCGAAAGCGCCTGCAGCACGCTCAGGATCTGCTGAGCCACCACCGACAGCACCTCAATGTTGATGCGATTGAATTCATCAAAGCAGCCCCAACAGCCGCTTTGCGCGATGCCTAACCAAGTTACAAAGAATGATACCTTAAAATTCTAAATTTTTTCATAGATAAACAAATTACACTTAAAATCGTTATATTCTTAGCTCTATTGCTCAATCGAAAGGCAAAGAGGAAACTCTATTCCCTGAAAACAATGAAGTACCTAGAATACAATCGGATCGTTATTACACAGGAAGTATCCCTTGTTATATATCGTCGCCTTACGCGTATACGCGTTTTCACATAATTCGTTTTTACGGATTTTTTTTGTAGAAAAAAATTTAAAGTAATAAAGTAATTGAAAGAGGTATAATTTAACTGATTAAAATGCTACCAACATTATTGCGTTTACATTGACAAATTACATAGAAATCTCATACGAGTATTCACTCTACGATATAGTAATAAATTCATCACCGTAGTTTGGTTTTCTCACGTTTCAAAGCCGCCATCTTATTTCTGTTATTTTGATTTTTTTAAACGAATTTTCTACATTTACTTTTTAAAACTTCAAAATGACGAAAATTAAATCATCAAAAATGGTAAGTGTTAAATAGGAAACATTTTCTCTCAAATACATTTAATTTTATATTACTTTTTATTTTAAAAGAATTGAGGTTACCTGAGTAACACTTAGCCATGGACTTATAATCCAGGCCATCTGAGCAATTGGTGACGACGACCCATCGAGCTAGTGCTCGGCCTAAATCCTTGGTCGTCTCAGTTTTGCCTGTGCCGGCTGGGCCCTGGGGGCTCCCGCCGCGAAATAGATTAAGAGCTGTTGTAAGGGTAATGTAGCACCTGAAAATTATAATTTAACACGAATTTCTACCACGAGAACTTGTAAGATATCTGTAATCTGTATCTGCAACTATTATGAATAGACGTGTCGCTTACCACCAGACGCGCGACTTATTCGTCCCGTCACTTAGTATTATAAAAAAAATAGTTTAAATTATACACAAGCGTTCATTACAAAGTAGTCAACATTGTCTACCTGTCAGTCAGCGGAGTAATCACAAGGCGACCAGAATTTCCAATATACTCGTAAGTATAAATAGAGTTCGTATTAGTCTGTCTAATGAAGCAGTCCTCCCGTTCACGGTCCCAGTAAAATTTAAGCTGGGAGAACCATTCGAATGCCGTTACGTGCATGCAACCTGAGTAATCAAATTCAAAACTTAAAACGAGAACACATCTGTTAATACTCTTGCAATAATAGTATAGATTAATTAAACATTTAAAATTGGTGATTTTTATTCTTTGGCTCTTGCGAAAAACTTGCACACTTGAGGATTAAATGGCGGCTGCTAGTGACGCAGTCGGCGTGGCGGAATTCTAGGCCACAATAGTATAGTGTATGCCATCAATTCGATAAAAAGAATTAGTGCACAAGTCAACTACAGCCACCAGCACATTTAGCGGAACACTAAACATATTGAGATCCGGTATGAAGGGTAAGGGTGCTGGTGAAATTACAGGGACACGTGGGACTTGTCAATTTATGTCACAAAGTGACGGGCGCAGTGGCAGTGCTCCTCAGATCTTTGCAATTTAAAGATCTGAGTGGCACTGCAACTGTATGATCAGGCGTGTAGCTTACATAAAAAAACATTATAAAATAGTAACGTTAATAAATAAATAAGAATTATAGATAAGGTAGCAATAAAATTAACATCTATTGACATTGGCTTAGTACAACGTTACTCAACCTTTATGTAAATAAAATCTAAATTAAACTAAAATGCATTTTTTGTGAAAAAGAGATGGCTGAAAATTTTTACAACTAAAGGTTACGAAGTTTACAAGAACGTATCTTTTTTCTATAAAAAGTAAGTGCGCATTTGACCTCCATTTCACCTGGTGGAAAGTGACGATGAGGTCGACGATGTAGCATGCCACTTAAGTAATGCCTATTCACTCTCGCCTTGAAAAGGTCAAGTTATAACTTTCAGGGAACAAGTCTGCAGGCAGGGAATACCACCCCATAGCTGTTAGCTATATAAATGTGGAAGCAAAACGCTTCGTGCGAATCCTTGGAATATCCACAACACAGGGCTGGAATCCCAGCCTACGCCTAGTCCCCCGATGATGAAAGGGGAAGGCGGAATCAAATTATGCAATTCCTTGGCACACTTTCCGTGATACATCTTGTGGAATATCGATAAGCAGGCAACTTTACGGTGTTCAAGGTTCTGCAGCTTTGCCTCTACTAATTCCGAGCATGACCACACTTGAAAAAACGACGCATTATTTTGCGGATTTAACTAGTGTTCCGCTAAATATGCCAGTATATGTGTATTACCAGTTGACTTAAGTTATTTCTCTAATCTCAATGCGGCACTTGAGATGGATGTATTAATACGGGTAAATTACCTTACTGCCCAAGGGCATTTAGGTTTATTTTTAACTCACCCATCTTATACATCCTATCAACGGTATCCCGAGAATGTATCTCAATGACACACAAAGCGTTGACTTTTGCCCGTAGAATTTTCGGGATCTCCTTCCGAGACATCGTTTGTAGCGTGGCAAGGATCAAGTTCTGTTTCTTGCGCAGTTTCTTTAACGGTTTCTTTTCTTTCATTATATCACAACGGCATAGAGTGCGGGTGCAGTCTGATGTCCATTGAATCTGAGCGATTAATTATACATAAAGCAACACAAAATGTGTCATATTTGCACTATTGATTATACCTATGTAGTAATAAGTAATAAACATTTTTTTTTAATTCGCTATTTCCCCATAGTTCCCCCAAAGTGGTCCCTACCGCCGCCGCCCAGGGGTCGCGGTAGCGCATATTTTTTTATCTTGCCAAAGTGGACGGTGAGCCAAAAACTTTGGGAGGCTATGCCATGGACCAATAATTTAAGAGGACTGCTATTAGTGATACAAGATAGTGTGGTCGGATAGTTACATATAGGCACACTAGATGTCGCGACGAGTACCAAATAGCTATTTTTGACTAATTTGTTTTACATTGACACGCTGCAATTTATCAAAACTTCTAGTGATAACAAACAAATCAACTAGATGGGGCTTATTACACAGATTTTTATGGATAGTGGTTATTATATTTTGTTTAGGATTAGCGCCATCTACCCATATTAGGAAGCGTTAATTTATAAATTAGTTTGTAACACACAATGCCATCTATTAGACACGTATATTTGTCAAAATTCAGAAAATAATTACTTTAGGTCATGACCAATATTTAAAATTGCAAGGAAAAACCGGCTAAATATAGTCTTCATTTTGAAAATGAGACCGTAGTCACGCTGGAATAAGAGACACCGCTATGAACCACGCAAAAAATAGTTCTTAAACGAATTAGACAGAAAGACGAACTGACCTTGCTAGCCGTAATACCAAGTTGTCCAGGATAATCATTTATCCACTGTTCTCTCTCATATTTGCACTTCCGCAGTGCCGCGCGAGTTATTATTAGATTCTGAAATACCATCATTTTCACAATTCTCAAATTACCTAATTCATGTTCAAACTTCAACCCACTACCAAAAATAATATTCGTTGGTTAAAAGGCAAAACTCACTAGGCCCCATTTTGCATAAAAAGGAGTTTCTATTTTTATTTCATTGAGAAGATCAACGACAGAAAATTTTCGTGCGTAATGTCCTTCAAGTTACAATAACAGGTACAATCATTATAATCCATTTGCAGGGAAAACACAAAATCTTGACCTTCATTAGTCGATTTAAATTTTTTGTGTGTTTTACCTATAAACCGACGATTTATTTTATTGAATGTCCGCCATTTGCACTTTAGTGCGTTGTACAACAATGCAGTTTAAATACTGAAATGTTTTTACTATCATGCTATTCATATATTTTATGTGAACATACTCCACTAGTTTATTGATATTATTGATACAAACAGCAAACAAACATTAAAAATGTTTCTTCGATCAGCCTGGTCTCGACCCAGTGAATTTTTCGATAGCCCCGGTTAGGCGAAAAATTCGCTGGTTCGAGGCAGAAGTTGTTCAATCAATACATCAATAGCATCGAGTATATAACCAGAAATAGAGACGAAATAAGGGCCATCCATCCCTGACAACTCATCAGGCAAATGGGCCTTATATCACTTTTAAATATCAACTCTCGTTTGTGCTGAAATCACAAATTAGAAAGCTGAAATAGTACAGCGCCAACAACTGACCACTGTGTACATCTCCGTATATTTCAAAAATATTATCTATTTATTGTAATAATAAACATAATATCTTTAAATATGGGGGGTTGTTCCATTCATAGTCATACAGTCATACAGTATATAACCAGAAATAGAGACGAAATAAGGGCCATCCATCTCTGACAACTCCTCAGGCAAATGGGCCTTATATCACTTTTAAATATCAACTCTCGTTTGCGCTGAAATCACAAATTAGAAAGCTGAAACAGTACAGCGCGAACAACTGACAAGTGTATACGTCTCCGTATATTTCAAAAATATTCTGTATTTATTGTAATAATAAAGATAATATCTTTAAATTGGGGGGGTTGTTCCATTCGGTGGTTTGGGAAAAACAGTAAAACATCTAATTACGAAACAAACTTAATCACATTTCATCGGTAATTAAATATTAAATATGTAATTTTTCAATTTTCGTCCTTCATACAAAAGTTCCAGTTAAACTGGCCGATTTGAGGAACGCAGTTGTTACTTGTCACCGAAATGGTTCGGCAGAATAGTTTTCAAACAAATTAAATGACATTTCGTCGCTACTTCTGGTTATCAATAATAATACCAACAAGAAATAAACTACATACTAACTACGAAATAGTAGGTTTAGTAGATGAATGACCAATTCGCAAAATAGGTAATAACTAAAAAGTAGGCCAATTCTCCGAATGACTCGTTCTGAAAATGGCTAACTCTATAAAACTTATACCTAATGGCTAATTCTTGAAATGGCTTATACTACGAAATTGCAGCAGCACTCTTGATTAAATTTAAAGCACAGTATTGCTAAAAAGGGCTCACAGGCGACCCTATTTCAGCCGAGATTCGTGCTGCTAATATTCAGCGAAAAATTAATTTTGCATGCGAATAAGATAATAACAACATACTACACACATACTTTTAGCAATATGATTCGTCAGTTCGAAATTTCTACTGCATTCCCAAGCAAAAACATGTGAATCTTACATCTCTAAGCACGATTCTCATGGTATGCTCCAAACCGAGTAGCCAGTGTTCGGCCGGGCCGTCGAGAATGAGATTGTATCTCCATTCAATACACTCTCCATCCTCAGACATCATTGCCTTCGCTACAGGGAGACCCATGGCATTCTGAAATTTATATTTCTTACAATTTTGTAAGTACAATAAAGGAGATTGATTTGAAGTTGGTAGACTTGAGAACAAAAAGTGTAAAGACTAGTGAAAATCAACCTTATGCACATAATTATAATACCATGGACCGATAACTCAAGAGGACTGCTAGTCGCAATACACAACAGCGTAATGGGGTATTTAGAGCTACACCAGATGTCGCGACCAGTAGCAAATAGTTATTTTTATGACTAATTTATTTTCCATTGACAAGCTGCAAATTATGAAAACTAATTTCTAGTGATAACAAGCAAATCAACTTAATGGCGGTTATTGCACAGATTTTTAAGAATAGTGTCTTCTTTTGTTTTGTTTAGGATTAGCGCCATCTACCTCTATATTGGGAAGCGTTAACTTTATAAATTAGTTTGTAACACACAATGCAATAGTTTGTAACAACACGCATATTTGTCAAAGTTCAGAAAATAATTTTAGTTCATGAATAAGATTTGAATAATATTACAAGGAAAAAAACTGACTTCTTATATTCCATATTAAAAAGGAATTAATTGATGTTCTCGGCCATGTCGACCCTCCTACGTAAAGTATCTTATGTCGAAATTGGCAAGTTTACAGGGGAGCGTTTTGAAGTTTAGAATTCACTGAAATGAGGATAACACGTGACTTTAGCATTTCTCAGTTTTATTCGGCGAAGCTCGTTACACATATAGAGCATTATAAAATCCTAGATATTGGTTAGATGAACAACCAATTTATTTTATACCAAAGCAGATGCAGGTCAACAAGCGGATAAACTAAAGTGAAACTCGGGTCAGGAGACAGTATAAAATTATAAATTTATACTGTATTTATTTTTGTGTAAAACCGAGATTTTCTCAGCTATGCTCTTTAGTAGGGAAGTTAGCAGTCCTCGAGTTTTAAGTCCATTATCATTATTACTAGGTAGCTTCATTCAGGGTCTATGCATCCCCCTCATCGCTGCGACCATTGACTGATCTATTGTGATCACCACTAATTACAGTATTGGTCCATGATCATAATCTAAAGGTGAAGTACATATCTAAAAACATAATTAAAATTTAAATTAGTATTTATCACTTTTTATTGAATATGTAATAAAAGCAAAATACAACACATTTCACTGAAACTTTATGTTGTCCAATAAATAAATTGTTCATTCACAATTTGCACTATTCACTAATATTATGTACTATTTCTTCTCAGTAGCTTCTCTGGCAAAGAAAGTATGACTTTGAGGACAGCTTTCTTATCTTCATCAGACCGGCAACACAGGACCATGTGGAGATAATCATTTAACAGTCCTTGCGCTTGAGCTTTGGGGTGATACATCAGAAGTATTGCAAGTGCCTGGAAAAAAATAAAAAGATTATATTATATGCTTTAACTAGGTTAGGGTTTAGGAGTAGGATTTAAATCAACACATCAACTGAACTTAATACACATAAGCCATATTCATTTCTTTCAACTTAAATTGGTAAGGTTTTTGTTGTTCCAATGCTGCCAGCCATGTTTTGAGGAATAAGTATTCTTTTTGTAAAATTTTTAATAAACAAATAATCAAATACATGTAGCGATTTTTCAATCTTGAAACAAGAAACTGGTATTTATTCAAACATGTACACATTTTTGATTTATTTGCTTAAGTCTGCCGACACTAAACAGTGTCCCGCTGCTATGGGACAAGGAGGCAAAAAACAGTTCAAAAGCA